CTACATTTTTCGTACTGTTGTTATTATTAGTACTAGTATTTGTCTTAGTCTCAGTAATAGTATTTGTATTTGTATTCCTGTTAAAGGTAGTAGTAGTAGTAGTCGTCGTCGTCGTCGTGGTGGTGGTGGTGGTAGCACTAATGCTAGTAGCAGCAGCAGCAGCTGCTGCTGCTTTGGCAGCATTGCCTTGGAATGCTTCTGCCAACTTCAGTGCTAGCAACAAGCACTGCTATTGCAATGCTTGTTGTGATTGGTGCCTTGTTGGCATAAATGCACGTTGCCATGCTGACGCTTATGATAATACCCATGCTAAACCAATGCTAGCCGAAGGGCGCGAAAGCTGCTAGCGCCAACGCTCTTTGGAGAAGGGCCAAGGGGCATTGCGTTCTGGTGGCCGACCTGTTCGAATCGTGTCAACGAGGGAACTACAATCCAACACAACAAACATACTGGTTCCCAGCCCTCTTGCTTCAAAGCCCGGCAGCAACTCCATCCCTCCGAATGTGCACCTGGATACATGGGTACATATGTGTGTGCGTGTATGTAATTGCATATACGCGCACGCACGTCGACACTGTATAGCACATACAGCATAAGACGACAAAACACGCGAAGCCGCTACCTGTATTTGGAATTGCATGTACGCACACACACACAACAAACACACACATGTGTGCGTGTGCATACTTTACCAGATATGAAAGGATTGGACAAGTTTAATCATGGTGCGCAATCATAGAGTCATCAATTTTGCTACAAGTTTAAAAATGGCTTCTCCACTGTCTGAGTCTCGTATCCGCCTATCATTCCTCGTCTTTTACTCTCCTTCTCTCGCTCTCTCTCTCTGTTGCTGACTCCGTCTCTGTGCCTCTGACTCCTTCGGGGTTCGAAAAGGCGTGTGAACTTGAGGATGAAAGAATTTCCCTCCACCGGCGCCCTGCGGCGCTGAAGTAGTAAGTCTGAGTCTACTTCGAACCACAAAAGCCCATAGGAAGCCTACGGTCCGAAACCAGGCGCAGCTCCGGTGCACGCTTTCAGACTAGGAATTGAACCTAGATCCCAGCTTTGAGCATGCCTTGCCCCTGCGCAGCTCTTCTGCCGAGGCCTGGAACGTGTGGAGCTCGCAGCTCAAGGGCTCAACGGTTTTTTGAGTGTCTGCACTTGGGGCCTACGTCTTGGATTGGTTCAGGGGTGAGAACTTAGGGAGCTTAGGGTTACCCGGCCGGCTGGTGGTGATGATGATGGTGGCGGTTGGTGTTGCCCTGTTGATTTCTTGTTTAATGTGAACCATGTTTCATGTTGTTTCAATGTCGAAGTGGATGTGGATACCGGTGTCGATGCCGAGGGCTATGCTTGCGAATATTACAATCATTGCTGTGACTGTTGCCACAGTGTTTCCTCGATCTTCCTACGGAGAAGGAAAATGAGCCACAAAAGACCTAATTTTTAGTTGATTTGTAATGGAAA